ACAAAAAAAAAAGTGTAAATAATGGCAATCCATGAATCATGTCCTAAAGCTTGCATTCTGTCTATGACAAAGTAGAGACATACGGTTTTGAACAAGTTGAGTTGTCTGCCCAACAGAATGCCAGGGATACAATGTGTTATTTAAAAACTGCACTCTTTGTAGCAGTTTGAAAGTAAATGATGAATGCAAGCATTGCAGGATGAACCATTTAAATGCAAGTAGCTATCTCTGAGGCACTAGGAAAGTAGGGGCAGGCTGACACAGATATAAACTAACATAATACATGTTATTAAATGCATGATTACTATGAGAGCTAAGGAAAAGTACACATAGCACAGTTCAATTTAATTCGACTTGGAGGGGTGGCCACAAGGTAGCTTTCCAAATGACGTAGAACTACAACTAAAATGATGCTTTAATGAAACAAAGCATTATGGGAGTTGGAGTTGGACAACGGATGGGGAGAACCTTTTGTTCATTTTCCACGTATAGTAATATGTTAGGTTTTGTAAAAAAATAATAATAATAATAATAATAACAATAAATACACAGTCAATTACCTCAAAGAAACTGAGTCTGCTGCTCATCTTGGTTCTGTGGGGATGTCCTCTCCAGGAAGCCATTCCAAGCACGCTGTATGCAGAGCAGCAGGCAGGGAGAGCAGCCAATCCGGGCAGCAGGGCAGGGGATCTGCCACAGCAATGCCTGCGGTTATATAGCAACCTCGTGTTCTTATTCTGAGTCAGGAATAAGCAGCACTGCACTCCCCATCCCGAGAGAGAGATAGCACAGCTTATCACAGCCTGCTATGGACAGCAATGAGCCCAGCTCTAGGGGCAGGTGTAGGGAAACTTGCCACATGAACTGCACTGCAACTCCCAGCATCCCAGCCTACATCAATACAGCACAGCTCTATAAGCAGGTGTAGGGAAACTTGGCACCTGAACTGCACTGCAACTCCCAGCATCCCAGCCTGGCACTAATACAGCACAGCTCTAGGGGTAGGGAGCCTTGGCACATGAACTGAACTGCAACTCCCAGCATTCCAGCCTGATATCAATACAGCACAGCTCTAGAGGTATGGTTAGGAAACCTTGGCACCTGAACTGCACTGCAACTCCCAGCATACCAGCCTGGCACTAATACAGACCAATTTTAAGAAGGCAGTTAATCCTGGCACCTGAACTGCACTGCACCTCCTAGCATCCAAACCTAGCACTAATACATAGTTCTTGGAACCTTGGCACCTGAACTGCACTGCATCTCACAGCATCCAAGCCTGGCACTAATACAGCACAGCTCTAAGGGCATAGGTAGGAAATCTATGGATCTGAACTGCACTGCAACTCCCAGTATCCCAGCCTGGCACAAATACAGCACAGTTTTAGGGCTCCTGAACTGCACTGAAATTCCCAGCATCTCAGTTTGGCATTAATGAAGCAAAGCTCTAGTGGCAGGGGTAAGGAACCTTGGCACCTGAACTGCACTGCAACTCCCAGCATCCCAGCCTGGCACCAATTCAGCACAGTTCTAGGGGCGTGGGTAGGGAGCTATGCATCTGTACTGCAACTCTCAGCATCCCAGCCTGGCACTAATACAGCACAGTTTTAGGGGGGCATTAAGCCCTGGAACCTGAAATGCACTGCAACTCCCATCATTGCTGTCTGGCACTAACATAGCACAACTCGAGGGGCAGGGCTAGAGAAAGTCTTGTATCAGAATTGCAGTGCAACTCTCAGCATCACAGCCAGCGATTTATTTAACCCTGCTCTAAGGACAAAGATAAGTCACGGTGGTATATGAACTGCCGTGCATTACATCTCTCAGCATCACAGCCTGCACTAACAAAACCATGCTCTAGGGGCAGGGGTAGGGGTAGGGAAATCCTTGCACGTTGTCCATTGCCAGCCACTGGGCTATCCCAAATCTCAAGACATGGACAGGAAATCCCAAGCACCAACTATTCTGCAAGAGCCAACAACTCCACTGACAGACGAACAGGAAAATCTGAGTACTCCCAATTATTCTGCACTGCAACTCCCATCACCCCCAGGTAGCCAACTGCTGCCTGGGATTAAGGAGAGTTGGAATACTTGTAATATTTACTGCAAAGTATTTATGTTTTGAAAGTGTGAAAAAAATCTGATCAGGTAATTAGAGCACTTTCAACATTTGTGTTTTGCATAAAACACATATTTTTGTATATATTAAATATTTAACAGTCTGTAGATGTCTGAATAAACGGCAGGTATTTTTGTACACGAGTAAGTATATAATGTGTACATATGTTAGCAGTAAATATAATGGTGGATATATATTCATTAGAGTTATTTAAAATACATTTTCTAACAGTTTGATTTCCAAACCAAGCTAAAGAATTACATTGCTTAAAACAATGTGACTCTGAAATATTAAAATATGATAATGCTTTTTGTGCATAAATTGTATAGTTTAAGAATTTTCACTTTAAAAAAACAAACCAAGGATTAATTGATTTATAGTGCACACTAACATAATATTTGTAATATGATAAAACTGTTTTTATTGAATTTTTCTACACTTCAGGAAACATTTCCCATTATTCCCATTAGCCCTGTTTATTAATAAACCTCTCAAGTTCATTTCAACTGTTCTTTACAAATAAAATAAAAAAGTACCAGCAAAAAAAACAAAAAGTGGAACATATGCGGATCTAGAATGCATATAATATCAATAAATGTCTCAGTTTGGCTATTTGGGGTTAGAATGTTCCATTATCCTTGTATTTGTCATATTTGAAAGGTTATTCCAAGCACCATGACCACATCCGAGATATGAAGTGGTCATGGTGCCTGGAGTCTATATGTGCAGCGTATTGCACATACAAAGTTTAACCCCACTGCTGCCGTTGATGTAACTCCATCTCATCATGGGCAACATCATCAGGGTGTCATCGGCCAGCCCAGAACTAGAGTCCCAGACTTGCTAATGTCACTTCTGTGCAACTGCAGAAGCTGGAAACTCGTCACTGGACCAACAGGGAGCATAGGAGCCTGGCAGGGACCCAATCAAGGGGACAAACTATTGCCAGGGTGCTCCTGGCATCATAAACACTACCTCAGGGTGTAGTGGTTTTGATATTTGGAGCAACCCATTAACACTTGGAATGTACACTAGACATTTCTAACAATTCACTACTTTTATTAATATTTACACATGTGCACAGATGTGTTTGCCTATACTTTGAATTAAAGAATTAGCCGTGTTTTGCTAACATATTGCTATATACAAGTGCAGCTGATTTCGAAGCTATCCCTTTTTCTGTTTGTGTAGCGAGGCAGCAGAGTAGGATTCTTTAGAGAAATAGCCATTAACAGATCAGGCAAGCTGCAGAAAACAAAAGGCCAAGGCTCATACTAATGTCAAAAAGCGACAGTAACTTGCAACAGGTGATCTGCTGTTTCATGTGCAACTCTGGACCCACAGGAAAGGAGGGGATATCATTGCTTGTCAAGACCAGCTATACTTAAAGGGACACTATGGTCACCTGAACAACTACAGCTTATTGCATATGTTCTTGTTAGTAGAATCATTCCCTTCAGGCTTTTTGCTGTAAACATTGTCTTTTCAGAGAAAATTCAGTGTTTACTTTACAGCCTAGTGATAACTCCTTAGATGGTTGCTAGAGCTACTTCCTGGAGCAGTGCTGCACAGTGCACAGCACTACCATTCAGTGTCTCCACCCTCTGTATGCAGACACTGAACTTTCCTCATAGAGATGCATTGATTCAATGCATCTCTATGAGGAGATGCTGATTGGCCAGGGCTGTGTTTGTCTTGTGCTGGCTTTGCTCCTGATCTGCCTACTTGACAGTCTCAGCCAATCCAATGCTTTCCTATTTGAAAGCAATGTCATTGGCTCACCACCACTTCTGATGATGTCAGCAGACACAGACAGTTTCAGAGGCAGACAGGGGCAGAGCCAGCAGCTACTGACTTGAATACAAGTAAGATTTTGCTATATTTAGGGAGGCAATAGGGTGGAGGGGTGCTAGATGGTGGTTTTAACACTATAGGGTCAGGAATACATGTTTGTGTTCCTTTAAGGATGTAGAGATTGGGTTGGTTATAGCAATATAGCTGATATGCTTATAAACATTCATTATGTGAAGCAGGACTATGTTATTGGGGCCTACTTGTGTTTCTCTGCTATAGAGCAATGTTTATATTCATAATGTATTTCATGTTTTGAATGATGTTATATAAATGGCTGTTGAGTGATCTCAATGAAGTGGTCTGGATGCAGTGGTTATGTCATTTTAACCCTGTAATTTATTTTAACCCTGCAATTTTGAAGAAACTGGTATGTTTTTACATAGCAGAGTTAAACACACCTCGAGTGGCTGTCTTCCAGAATGCCACTAGAGGTGCTTACCCTACAACAAGCCAGTAAAACTGGGCCATGTGAGGTTGCAGCTCGTAGGAAAACATTGAATTCCATTCTTTCCTATGAGAAGCATTTGCTCCACTATAAGGAGTTATTGGAGCTGTTACGGGCAAATACAAATATTGCAAGTTTTAGAATGAAATGTTGTATTTCTTAAACTGTGTACTTTGTCTTTAAGAGATATTGCAAACTGACAAGGTGTTAGAAATGGAACATATTGTTTTTCATAGATGTTTCTTTAAGCAATAACCTCAGTGCATAATATGTTTGCGCCATTTTGTCCCAGACGAATTACAATAACAATAATGCATAAACAAGCTTCAAGGCTATACTACGACACTTGCAGTACACAATATACTGTGGTAACCCCAAGTTAATGGAACTTCCCCAAATCCGGGAATCTCCCACGACTGTACACTTACGACTTAGTATAAACAACAGATAACCTATTCAGACTTTAAGATGCCATCTTGAACTAAGTCAGGAAAATTTCCATGACGTATGCACCCTTTAGTTATGGCCTTGTATGTTTGCCAAGTTAAGGGAGGTCCTAAATTGAATAAAGTAAAAAAGTGTTACTTTTTCATATTTGAACTACGGTAACCTAAAATGGAGACAGAGGTATAAATAGGTGTACTTTTAAATGTTAAGACACAGAGGAGAGACTTGGAGACAGACGCTGCTCCATCTTAAAATGACAGAGAGGCTGACATGATGACATGTTCAGAAGGGTATGTTAACCTATTAATGATATTTGCAAGCATGTAATTTAATCTTATAAACTCTGCTATAATGGATTTTATATTTTTATATAATAAATATCCAAAAGACAATCTTGCTTCCAAGACAATCCTTATTTTATATTGTATTCTCAATTATTTATATATGTTAAATAGAGGATCTCTTACTAACTATATAAAATTATGGCTAAGATATCTGTATGGTTAGCCCTACTAAGTTCTATGCTTTAAGACATTATAGTGGTAAATAAGGGAACCACCAGCGGTTACAGAGCAGCTTAGCACCAAGTGAGACTCGGGTCTGGAATAAACGTAAGTAAAATCATTTTATTCAGATTTACAGAGGTAGGCATAAACTAATTTGCAAATAGGACAATATAATATTCTGAATACAGGTTTGAATCCCTAACGTTACATTATTCCTTTAAACGGTTGCACCAAGCCTGCCGTAGTGGCTATGATGTTGGTGCACTACGGGTACAATTCTTCAGTAATGGGGCAAGCCATTTTGCAATAGTTTGCCTCTTACCTGGGACGATGGACCTCCTGTCATGCTGGGTAATTCACTTCTGGTTTCTGATCCCTGCAGTCATTCATTGGCTAAGAGTATCAATCCGAAGGTTGATTTACAGCAGCAATATAAAATACCTAAGTATGTGCAGCGTACATATAGGGTCCTTTGCATCATGACCACTTTAGAACACTGAGGTCATCACTAGTGATGACCATAATGGGTAGTCCGTCACAGAGAATGAGCGAGCCTCCCCACCGAAGGACTGAAGCGGCCTGTCTGGTCAGTACCTTACAGAGAGCAATAATGATGTACTGTGCTGCCCGAGGAAAGTTACCTGGCGACCCCAGATATAAGACACCAGGGAACTAAAGTGGGATGGCAGGAGAGGACCCTGAAATTGGGATTGTTGAAGGGCCTAATTATGAACCCCATGGCATCAATAATCATATCCCCTGAATATAGATCATTGATATAGGAGTGTGTGGAACTTAATATATCCCCAGATGTCTTGAAAGCCAGAGGAACTGGTGTCTTTTACTGTAGAATACTTAGATTTGTTATTTATTTATAATTAATATTATCTCTGTACTACTTAAACTGCATTTATTGCCAGACTCCTATGATTGTCTTTGCTAGAATATGTTTAACTCAGAACAAGTGAAAATTACACAAGGGGAATACATTAACAATCACAGAGGAATCTGCTGATTTACCGTGTGTTATTAACACCTCTAGCCATGGGTGTAATTGCTGACTTAGAAATCACAGCATATTCATTAATTCCAAAAAGAACTGAGATTTTACTATTTACAGGTTTGGTGAGATATTTCACAACTTCTCCTAAAGCTATTGGTTAATAATATTCTTTAAAAAAAAAACAACAGATCATTTATCAAAAATAAATGACATATGGCGTAAATGCTACAGAATGTGACAGTGGAGTTATGGTGTTGTGCTATGCACAACAAAATGATGACCTCATTACCAATATGGTTTTTGGTTACAGTATTTACCCAGCTTTTATGTTAAAATAAAAATAGAAGCCCCAAGAATAGTATTGCTAGATTGTAAGCTCCCATCAACTTATGCTATTAAGAATATGTTATATTTCATATAATGTTCGTCATAAGTCAACTTACATGTGATCTTGTTATATTGTATAGCAATGGAACTTGCAAAGCACTATAACCACTAGAGTCCACTGTAGTGGTTATGGTGTCAGGATTGCCCTGGAGTCTTCCCAGTGTGGGTAATCAAACTGTTTAAGAACGATTTGGCAACTTACCTGGGATCCACCGGTCTCATATCAATGCCTCCTGTTCAGACAGAAGCTCCTGCACTCAGCTAAACCCAGCTGCATTAACAGAAGCTCTTTGCAGAAGCTTTGATCCAAAGAAGTGGTGTTGGTGGGTTCCTGGCAGTCCCCAGGCAAGAGAAACTGCTATGTTTATAAATAGGTTAATCCAGCCTCTAAAGCCTCTAGTGGCTGTCTCATTGAAGATAAAGACTGGTAGACCCAGCCCTGACTCGTAGCCACAGTTAGGGACAAACCAGCACCTGACTGACCCAGACCCCCCACAGGGAACGGGACAGACGGGACCAAACGGAGAGACACACACTCCTCAAACTGGACGGCCCCTCACCCTACAGGAAAGGGGGGGTGGAATGGGAGGGGGACACCACAATACAAAGGGACACTGTATTGGCCAATCGGCCACCTAAGATTGAAGTTACATGACGCTTGTGCCACCGCTACCGAATCAGCCTTCCCCCTACTCCCACCCTACCCGTGTGCTTCCCCCGCCCGGCCCTCCCTTCCCCCCCTCCCTGCTTCTGCAGAGCCGCGTGCCCTGGCTATGCTTGCCTAGTGTTCCATGGCACCTGCCCTGGGAAGGAAAGTAATATCGACGGGGAGACATTGGAGCAAGGACACCCCACCAGTCAACCACCAACACCGGCTGACACCCCACCAGCCAACCACCAACCCCGGCTGGCTGGGGCTGCAAATCCTTCAGTAACCCCCGACAGCAGTAGGGGCAATCCTAAAGCAAGACCCACACTACCCACGTACCAAGATGAGATCTGCCACCAAGCAAACCACGAAGCCTACTGTTCAAGCAGTATTCCAGATATCTACATGCTTCGCACTACTTCCCTGCGGACCTGTGGATCCAACAGCTTAATTGTATATATGTTATGTCATGAGTACCTACGTGTACTACCGGAGTTGCTACCAACAATTTGAGGTATTGCGATAATGACACTATGTATAACGCAATAATACAGGACCTGCGAGTCCTCAACTTCTCAGGGCCTGTGAGCCCACACAAACATATACCGTATTTGCACCTCATACTGACCTCCATGTTTTGTTGGGGACCTGCAAGTCCCAAAATTGCATACCAGGCATGAATGGCTGAACCAAAAAAAATGTATTTTAAAAGAACAAAACTTTTAACATTGCTATTTTGAAAGCATTCTTACTTTACAGCATTTTGTCGCACCTGATTAAAACTGTTGGATAGAGTTGCATTTTTTGAACAAAATTGAAAATTAAACAAATGATAAATACAAGTATTTACTCCACACATTTCAATTTCACAGGTTTTTTTTTTTTTTTTAAACTGAAATCTCAAAGTTATGGAAAAAAACAGTTTGAATTATCAGTGTTCACATGTTCCTGCTGTTAATTTCTCATATAGTTAAAGTTGTGTCAACTATTAAAGTCAGTTTGACACATATCCCAAAGTTTACTAATTTGATATTACGTTGTCTCTTGGCTTTAGATAAGTTGGAAGCTTGTGAACTATCTGAATGTTATTTATATATTTTATTAGATTTTTTTAAAGTCATTTTTTTTGGATTAAATGCTTTTGCTGCTCCTTTTCAGGGCAATAAAATTATATAATTCATCATACAAGAGACAGTCCAAAAAATATATATAACATAGCTTTATTTAACAGTTGTAATATTTTACATACAAGCCAGTCACTTTATGCAACAGAAGAAAAGGAGGACGCAGGTGAGAAAGGAAACGATAGGATTCATTGTCTGACACCAGCAAGGTAATTCATTCATGTGAGAATTATTTGGAGCTTAAAGGAAGTTAAAAGTGAATTTTGAATTATAGGCCACAGTAGCTAAACTGGTAAAAGTCAGCGATGTTTTCATTTCCTTTATTTTGGCTTCAAATATGAAATTCACTTTAAATTCACTTTCAGTTCTTAACATTTGACATGTGCAGGGTTATTATTTTTTTATGTGAGAATTCAAAGTGAATTTAAAATGTAAGGTGTAAAAAATAACACTTCTTACAGTATATATTTGTTTTTTTACTTCTTGTTTGGTGGCTTTATAATATACATATACTATAATATAATATTATAATTCTTCAGTGTGTCAGTTAGAAATATCAGCATATACCAGACATGTTATTCTGCTTACAATTACTTATATATAATAAAATAACAAGGGATATTACAGGATGATGGATATTCAACAGCAGATGTTAATTGCTACACTCAGGATGGGAGCGACAATAGTCTTTGTTCACAAAATCACAGACATTCTCAACCTACCCCCAAGACTCCAGCTAAATAAAGGAAGCGTGTAACTAAGCTTGTCTTTGTGTAGTTAAACCAATCAAATAAGACCATTCAGATGATTCCTATAGTTTCAGAAGCACCTTACAGAATTCTCAGACAAAGAAAACCATGTAACTTTTTGATAACATCTGTTATTTATGCTCAATCCAGACACATATATATCTAATGTGAATAGAATATGCTATATTTTACATAAAGCCAAAGTAACTAGAAGGATAGCTGGCATAGAGATTTGTCCAATTCAGCAATTTTCACCTTAAATTTAAAATGCACTACAAATACTAACTTTAGTAAAGAACCCTTGCGGTGTCATACGTTTTGTACAGAGCCTTATGACCACATTGACCTCAATAAGGCACTAAAGATATGACAAGGGTTTTCTACACTAACAGGTCAAATTGGGTCCAGCAGTGACAGTGGACTAAGTGTTCTGCGACCCAGTCCTCAGGGACCACCAACAGTCCAGTTTTTTTCAGTATCTCCATTGGAATAAAACAGGGAATACATAAATCCTGGACTGTTGGTGGGCCATGAGGACTGGCTTGGGGACCACTGGAAAGGACACTTCACATTGAGGAATTGTTGTTTTTCATTTATTGGGTCTAGAGATGGGTTATAACACGAGAGTGGCTATTTGTTCAAACTAAACATAAAAATAACTTAAATACAATAACAAACACATACATAACAAATACACAAATCACCATAAGGAATTTCTTTTTTTCTTGAATTCTAATTTGGCTGTCACAAGTATGACAGACCTGCTTTAAATATCTGTGCCTGATGTTAGATTGCCAGCACTGTAAATTAGTTTCTCATTTAATAAACGTTTGTCCGATTATTATCCAACATTATTTTATTGCACCAGTTTGCACAATAAATGCACTTTTTTTTTAAATAGCTATTTAAATGTTCTTGTAGGTAATAAA